TAATAAATATAACCTGTCTTGTTTTGCTTTTTTGTTAGCCTTTTTCATGGTACATTGTTATTCATGCAAAAGCAAGCACTTAGTGATTACTGGTTGACTTGCCCTTCTGAAACTCTCTCAGGTTCCTTCCCAATTGCAAAGATAAAATGGGCAAGTGTGTGTTTTCTGTAAGTGGGGAAGCTGACACCACCAGAGGGGAAGTAAAAAGCTTGAAGGAGGTGGTTCCACAGCATCCATACCCTGGCAAGGCCGTATGGTTCTGTAATCCATCTAAAAATTGGGAAAACCTCATGGGGGCCTGAGGATCTGATTTGTTTCTAAATCTCAGGTCAGTATGATCTTCTTTGTAATTCCGTAATACCATACTCACCTGACATACTCACATGACAGACTTTCAGATATTTTGGGAGTCAGGTCAAAGCTGCCTTGCAGTGCCCAACAAAATCTAGGAGGAAGTCAGTATGGGCTTTTCGTATGCCTTCCCAAGGGCAACCTTTAATTCAACTCTTTTGTATGCCAGTATCTTCTAGAAGTCATTTCTCTGTTAAGATCTGGGTAGCTGCTTCTGACCAAAAAAGTCATGATTTGACACATGGCACCTTCATAAAATATCTCTTGATAAGTTTAAAAAAGAAAAGCATGGGGCCCTCCCTGGTGGCGCAGCGGGTTAAGGCACAACACTAAGAAGCTTAAGCCACTTCCGCATGAGTTCGATTCCCGCCTCCCCCGGGGGAGATCCACATGGTGAGGAGACCTCTCCTGGCCGGCCCGCTGCTCCCCTCAGCAGTGTACTTCGTCGATCTGTCTGTTCTGCTCCCCACTCTGTCTCTGGTGAATCCTCTCACCCTCTGCATCTCTGTGTTCTCAGTGCCTAGATGGACCTGCCATGGTCAACCGCGGTTCAAGGAGACACTGGTGAGTACTGCTGGACACCCCAGAAAGGCAAAAATGTAGTGCCAGTTGGTGAAGACAGGGTTGTCTTTCAGAATGAGACCGTCAGGTAGCCAAAGAAAACAGGAGCTGAATGGCATGAAGCTTTGGGAAAACGGTTTGCTCCATGTCTCTAGAAAAACAACTAGTGATGACAAAACAGTCATTTTTGAGAGTCATTATAGAAATGCTTTCAAAAGGAATGTGAACTGCAGCTTTCTCAAAGTCCCAAGGCAGAGGTTCTGAAACTTGACAAAGCACCAGAATCACGTGGGGGCTTGCTGAAACGTAAGTAAAATATAAACGTAAGATATCGCCCCAGAATTTCTGAAGCAGTAAACCTGGGAAAAGTCCTGAAAACTTGTATTTGTAGCAAGTTTCCAAGCCTTGTGGGTGGTACAGCCTGGGAACTACATACTGAGAAGTGTTGTTCCAAGATAGAACATATAAAATTGTTGTCCTGTGAAGTAGGATCTGAGGTATATGACTTGAAGAATTGACTGGGAATAAAAGGCCCTCATCATTTCGCTTCTCCTCCTCAAAATAATCAAAAAAAACCAACTAGAACAATTAAACATTTCAATAGCAAATACCACTACATCAAAGCTCTCTGCAGAGTGGGCGTTTAAAGGTAAACTGATCTGTGAGCATTTCTGAATGTATTTCCCTAGGGGCGCTCTTTTGACAAGAGTATGTTTCCTTTAGAATTCTTCCACAGAAGCCTAGGTGACAGCACGGTATCATTTTTTAATTTTTTGCTAAAGTTATCATGATGGAACTCCCTAAAGTCCATATTTTACATACATAAACATATACAGACAACTGAAATTTTTGTTGAAGTGAGGTGAGGGTTGAGTAATCCTGTACCTGTTTCCTTTCCCTCCAAATTTTGGAACCCTGGAGGGGAACCCTGAAATTGGTGTGTGGGAGCTGGACTCCATGTTAATGTCAGAGTTCCAGCTTGTCAAGGACACATCAGATAAAGGCCTTTCCATGTTGACAAGTCAGCTCATCAAGGGGGTAAACAAAGTGGTCTGCGGCAAACCCCAGTGGAAGATCCATGTGATGGCACTTGAACTGAGAGGAGTCGTAAGGAGTCAGAGAAGAGAGCATTTTTATAAAGAAATTTTATTGCATCATTTCTGTATACAATAAACATAGGAAAAGGGTTTTTTCATGAAAATTTCATGTCACTTTCCAAAAGTTTTTAATTGTTTGGAGAAAAGTTATTACAAAGCTATCTAAGGCAAAAATAATATTTGAACTTCAGAACAAACAGTAATCTCTTTCATCATATTCTGTATTTAAAAGCAAGGCATTTCAATCAGTTTAGCATGAAGAGGCTTTTAAATCACTATGTCCTTTGCGTTGAGCATTTAAATGCATCTAAGAAGTGAGAAGTTTAAACATATAAAATGTACTCTAACACAATAAAGACCTCTGCTTTCTTCACATCCAGCCTGCATCACTGTCATGGTGAACTTCTTACACACCAGCAGAAACCTGCATCTTCTATCGTGTAGTAAGGGCCAGAGTGCAGAGAGGGAAAGTTCCATGCATTTCCTATGTTAAATGGCATAACTCCCACAGATCACATACACCTCACCATATTGACTCAGTTCATTGCATTCCATATCCTGCAAAAATAAATCTAGAGCTCGACAGCTGACATTATTGCTCACTGACGTTTTAGTAATATATTTCTTTAACATAAGACAGAAATATACTGAAATTTGATCCCACTTAAACTCAAAAGCAATCTGGAATTAAACCACATACATAACTCCACTTTCTTTTTTTTTTTTTTTTTTTCAATGGATATTGCTTTTTTCTTAAAGTTGATGCTGGAAAGCACGGTAGAAGAAAAACTGGCTTCCCGTGAAAGACTGACTCAGGATTAGAAACGATGGGTTTTTGAGGGAAACCCTAAGCCTGATTACAAAAGTGAAGGAACAATGAGAACCTGAGTCTTTGGGGAGAGGGAAGAAATTCTTAGGTTGTCTCCCTGGCCTACCCGAACACTGGGCATTGAACCCTTGAACCCTGGGGCCTGTCACTACTGTGTGGGGCATGAGCTCAGTGAGAAGTGCTATGTCCCGAAGGACAAACTGCACACGGTGATGGCAAAGTTCTGGCAGACCCACTTCTGTAGCTGATCCCACATGGGATACCTGGGTGGCTGGGTGGCATGAAGAAGAGGCATGGAGGGTTCAAATGCTTGTTCCTTATCACACAGCAGATCAGTGTCAAGGGTGGGACTTGAGATCCTGGCTCCCTAGGTGAGGTAAGGGAAGGTTTCTAGGATAGTCTGGACTCTGAGGCTTCTATGATTTCAATATTACATCTTATTTCAGTGATGTAATATTGAATGAAAGCTGTGAGTGAAAGTTGTGAAGTCCAGAGTCCAGGGCCTGAGGTGAAACAATCTGGGAGTGGAGAGGGAAGAGTGTTACTTATCTAGAATCAGAATCCCAGCATCATGACAATGAATAGTCTCCTAGAAATCAGAGCCTTACCAGAAAGGGTACAGACATGACCACACTGATAGATGGACTGGTCACAAATTTTTGTTTTAATTTCTCATTATTTCTTTAAAACTGTCAGGTGTCCTTCCTTCTTATTTTTGTTTCAGGTCTTATAAAGAAAGCTGCCAGTCTTTATAAGCTCTCAAGGAGTTATACAAATAGTACTTTTTAAAAACTACATCTCAGGATCAGCATTCAAGGTTAGAAACAGAACACACATGATCGTAAACCTTATCAACTCGCAGTGCCACCCCCACGCCTTGGTGGGCACTGGGACAGCCACTCCTCCAGGCCACGCGTGAGAGCTCCCAGCAGAGCTCTCGTAGTAAAACGGCCATCCTGCTACAAAGGAGACTTTCTGGCGCTTGGCCCAGCTCTTTCCTTACCAATCAGTTACATCAGTCTCTTTTCATTTCAAATACCTGGGCTTTGGACTTTGAAGCAATTAGAATCAGTTCAGTTTTATTTTAAGAATGCTGATCTTAATTGTATAGCAACATAGTAATATTGCCCTGAGAGTGTTGATTATTTTACAAAGAAGTCCCCATTGTGCATGAAGAGGCAGGGAGAGGTGAAATGGCTTGTTCCTTACCATACAGCAGATCAGTGTCAAGAGTGGGACTTGAGATCCTGGCTGTATTTAATTAAACCCCAAGCATTTTTATAACCGTCACTGGCACCTTTATAACGGTCACTGGCACCTCTGTATTCATGGCCCCCAGGCTGAGCTGTTTCTTACTGCCCCAAATTGGAGATGATAGTACCCAGCACTTCCTCTTTGATCTTCTCTGTTCTCTCTCATTTCTTTTAGCTGATGAAGTGGGCTGGCCCCAATATCTTATTTAACAGAGTGGAATTCACCAGAATGCCCTTCTGAGCTACAGTTGGTATTAGGTGTGTGCAAACAGTCCTGTCAAAGGTAATGGCAGGTGTTCTTAGTGAACTCTGGACAAAACATTCTATCATTGTCTTATATTCCAATGTTTTCCATAGAAAATAAAATAATATAAAGGCTTAGCCTGAGGTAATGTTTACTTCTCTGCCACAACACTAGGTTGGCCCCTAAGATCTGGCAACAATTTAACATAAGGAAAGACTTTAGACCTTCACACCTTTTTAGTGAGAATAATCAACTTCAGCTCAAACTTTCCACAAAGCTGAGAGGTCTCAGACACAGCACTGCATCCTTATCCTTGGCGGACTTGCACCAGGGCCTTCCATGTGTCTCCCAGGTCTGGTCTCTACACTGCATAGGAGATCTTGATTTTCACACTTGAAGACCAAGTACCTTCTCCCTCTTAAGCAAGGGGGGGGGGCGTGTAAGCTTCAAAGAAAAAAAGCTATGTGCTCAGAGAATGCTACTGAAGTGTCTTGCGAAAAAAGTTTCATAAAGCTCATCTCCAGCGACTAAAGTTATAAACAGTTTGAGATCTAGACAATAGCAAAATACATTGGTGGCCAGGGCCTCTGTTTAAGCAAAAAAAGAAAATATATCAATAGCACAAAACTGCCCTTATATCTTTTGAAAAAATATATCTAAGATAGACAATTTTGATTATTGTATAAGCAGTGCATTAAGTACACTTGTCTCCATCACGCTCCATTACCCTACAGCTCCGTCTTGTCTGCCTGGGCTGGGCTGCCCACTCCGCTGCCTCCTTCAGCACCACTTCCATCTGCAGGTGTGAAAGAGAGGGAAGCCGAATTGATGCAGTATCTTTTCCCCGTTGGACGAGGTCCATCATCAAAAATATGCCCAAGGTGAGCACCACACTGAAAGAGAAGGGCAAAACGTGAGGAAAAACATACACAGAGTAAGCTCGGGGAGGAACTCACATGAAGCAGTTTAAATGGATGACCAGTCTCTGGAGAAATGATGGAAACCATCCGGATGATTTCTAATCCGCTTGTCAATAACTGCAAAGATGGTTTCTGGCAGGCGTTGTACCACACGCTGAGAATAAAAAAAACACTAGAATTGTGCATATCAGAAATCACTTAGGAGCCACTGTATTTTTTGATCTGTGAAGTCTCTCAGCCAGCTGAAAAATGACTACAGTAATTTTATGAATTGAGTTGACCCTTAATCTCCCTCTTGTAAGAAACATGACGGAAAAAAAAAAAAAAAACCCTCTCCCTGCTGGCATTACTTTTGGCTTTGGATGAGTGGGTTTCAGATATGCAGAAGTCCATTGTAAAAGATACGGTGTAACTGGCCATGACGGAGGTGATATTTGTTTTCATGGGCGGTAAAACTTATCAGACAAGCACTGGACCTTGCTGGAAACCAGCAAAAGCAATGGCAAGGCTCAAAAGATTGTTGTCACAGTCATCAGGCTGGCAAGTGTGGCAAATGGAGATGTCTCAAGCTCACACAATCATTTTTCTCTGGCTTCCAATAGAGGAAGCGCTGTGACGGCTTCTTTACCTGCATGAACTACATTATGTGGAGAAGGAATAAGCTGTTTTGCTCAAATTCATGCTACTGGCAATCCACATGGCTGGGGAAGAAGTCTGGAATCCAGACAGAGACAGAAGAAGGAATAGCTGTTTGTGATGGTGTTTACGAGAAATCCAGCATGACAGTCTCCAAAACAGGCTGCTCACTGAGTGAGGCCCTGTACTAAGTGCTGCAATGCTGAGTGTGACGCCAGGGACACCCGCATGTGTCACACTTACCGAACTCACACCATCTCTCAGCAGGGATGGGGTGGAGGAAATGCCAGTATTGGTGCACCACATTCAAGCTGACTGATAATACATCATTTTCATCTGCTTACAGAGAAAAACAAAGCCTGAGGCAAAAGACTTCCATTTACTCAATTTACAAATATGGCTGAAGGGCAACAAGCACTCTCCTCATGGGACTTACATTCTGGTGGGAGGCACACAAGAAGGTAAATGCACTGTGGAGTATGGTACGTAGAAATAATTGCTAACAAGAAAAACCAGGGTCAGGGTCTGATGTTCTGGGTACAGTGGCCAAGCAGGTATCCTGGGGTGAGTAAAAACCCCAAGGAAGTGAAGGAGTGGAGATCTAGAGGAACGCCACAAAACAATGGGAGAATGGAGATATAGGCAAGAACAGGGGGTAAAAGGCATTCTCATCCTACTCATTGTGTGTGCCGGTTTGATTATAACATAGCATAAGTTGCAGGGAAAGTTATAATTGATGAGGGGATGGGAATGAGAAGCCAAGGAAATGCAGGCTGCAAGGGAGGGGTGCCCATTACAAGGGGAGAAGCAGAATCTCAGCTGCGCCCTGGAAGCACCTAACTCAGTTCTGACGGGTTTCTAGTCATTAATAAATAGCACAATAGCAACTCGGAATATGTGGCACTTCCATGTTAAAATGATTGTTATTTTACTACCAATATACTGTGTCAGCTTGTTAAAGCACTGAAAATGAACCCTGAACTGATTTGATCTATTGCTTGGAAAATATGAAACAGACCTAAAAAACAAATCTCACATTATTTTACCACTTTCTGTTCTTAGGTAATATAAAGGCTGACAGCTCAGACTGCTTTTCCTTTCTGTAAACAAAAGAGGTCAAATTTTCAGGTCACTGGTGCATCTTATAAACAAATACACATATTTACCAAATGGACACAGGAAAGCACCAATTTCTACCTACCAAAACCGTGAAGGTGAGCATGAGCTAGCGCTCTCAGTGAACAGTGCGTACACAGTGACTACTCCCACACGTAGTGCCAGCGTTCTGATTGTCTGGCATCTGAGTGGAGGCGTTCTCACATAAAGAAAGCCTCAGATAGGTTTTATGGTTTTGTTTTTTGGGGGGGTGGGGTGGGGGGGTTTTAATGAGAGAATACAGGTAAGCTGGGAAAATGGGTCTGTTTATCTTACTCCAAAAATAAAGCGCAGTAAGATTATACTTCAAGTCATTCAGGAGTATTTTTATAGTCTTTATTTCTCAAGTTGTTGGTTTTTTTTTTTTTTTAAATCTAAGTTTGAGTAATTTAATCTGTTGAACTGAGCTGGTTTATAGTCTGTAATTTCATTTGCTGATCTGGAACTAGCATTTAAATTAAACAGAGAAGGAAATATGATTCTAGAGGTCCCTGAGCCAGTCAAAAGAAAAGGGGAGAGAGTAAAGAAAAATTATAGTTAGAAATGGTCAAACCACTGTGTGGATTAAAATGGAGAAGGGCAGCCCTCAGGGAAGGAGTTCCCTAACATCCAGAGTTATGGCTTCATGGTGCTTGCCACAATGTGTTCTGGGAGGCTCAGCCAGGCTCAGACAACTAAGGAAGGAACATTTGAAAACACAGCAAGATGTTCATTGATATCTGTGCGGCTACATACACGTTCACCCATAGCCTGCAGAGCTGTTTGAGAAAAGCATTCTGACAGCACCATTTGCCGCCCACCAGGTATGGCCAGTCTCCCATAAAAGCCTGTTAGGCTGTTTCTTTCAAAAGAGCACAAGCCCTGAAGGTTCCTCCCTGTGGGGAACGCACATGGAGCCCATTCTTTCCAGCATCTACCTCTGGTCAAAGACTAGGATGATGAATGGAAGTTGTCAATGATGCATTGTTTCTTTAGCTGCCTGGGAGCTCTGCCTCCCCAGCCCCAGCCAACTGGCAGTGTGGTAGGATCTCTCTGCACACCTGGTTGTAGCTGAAACAAACTGGTTGCCCAATGAAGAAACCTCTGAAACCTGCTATGAATAATTTATTTCAGGGTGGAATCTTTGGTGTGCGTATTGAAAGTTGTTTTAAAATGGCTATGTATTTCTTCATTTTGCATGTAAAATACAAACTATACTTGAATGTGTGAGCTCTCATTCAGAAGAAGCAAGGCATATTTGTTCAAAAGAAAATATCTTTATTTCCCATTAGGATATTTTATCATCTAAGTGTCCCCTCAGAAAACCTGACAACTAAAGGACCTGCAGAGAATGAAAAGACAACCCCACCTTTAGAAAAAGTGATTGTGCATCAAATGTAGCATAATTCCTTAAAATCTGGCTGCAGCTCTCAACCACGTACATAAGAAACACAAATAGTGCATTCAACACAGTTACATATTTCTGCACTGAGGTATTTTCAACTGTCCTTAAGAACAGTTCTCCTAGCTAGTCCTAGGATGTTTTGGGCTTTCTTATTGTCATTTCCTCTGAAGTGTTTAATCTATAAGACAAGCAGTTTCAAAGCAGGGTTTGTACACTTGAGCATGTGGGGCAGGATGGGAAGGAAAAAAGAGATAAGAAGAAAAGCAGGGCCCTTCCTGGTGGCACAATGGTGCAAATGGGTTAGGATGCATCACTGCAAGCCAGTCACTGCTGCTTCAATGTGAGTTTGATCCCCGGCCCCAGAGGTGAACCACATGGCGCAGCAGACCTCTCCTGACCTGCCCACTGCTCCCCTCAGCAGTGTACTTCCTCAATCTGCCTGTTCTGCTCCCTACTATGTCTCTGGTGAATCCTCTCACCCTGCCCCCACCCTGCACCTCTGGCCTGTACCCCAGTTCTGTATGCATAAATAAATAAATCTTAAAAAAAGAAAAAAGTAAGGCAATGTTCTTTGCCAGTAGTACCCTGTGCTACTGTTACTAAAGACACTTGCATGTAAGTGGGCTCTTGTCCTCTGTGTTTGTCACAGTAGTCCTTTGCAAGGAAATGATTGTGAAGTCACCAGTTTGGCATCATGATTTTATGGAAAGATCAAGAAAAAGCAAGATGAGCTGTGAGTGTGGAACCCTATTGTAGCACATGGGTGTCTTTGGTCATCAAGCAATATATGAGTTGTCATCTGCAAAAGATTAATAAGGTTTGGGGTTTTACCAAAAACTGCTTAACTTTGGAAAAAAACTTCGTATTTGGTGCATATTTACCTTTCTGTTGATATGGCTACCTTAGAACAAATTAATAATTACCTAAAGCTAACTTAAGGGGCTTGGCCATAGATGCAGCATTAGCAGCACTGTTACAAATACACTCCAACTTGAATAAACTCAGGACTTGATGGTTTCCTTAGAGATTATTAAAAAAATGTTAGGTGATTTATTGGTCTCCCATTTGCTGCAGATGCAAATTTTGATCTAAAGAAGGAAGAATTCCCCAAATATTTTGAGGAGAATTGACTACACTGAACTACAGCTTAAGCCATGCAAATCTTACCTCGTTGCACTGAATTTAAACTTCTGACAAAGTGTTGCTTAGCAGAGTGGGGTTGGAGATGGAAAAAACTGTCAAGCAATTATTCACAGTAGTCAGTAAAATTTGAATAGAAGCAATATATTTTATCATTGGTTAAATAATGTGAATTAAATAAAATTAAGGAAAAATTTTAATAACTAAAAATTTTTATGAAATTACTACAGCAGGGCCCACCCTGGTGGCACAGTGGGTTGGACTGCTGCATCGTGAAGCTAAGCCAAGCTGTAGCTGCTTCAGTGTGAGTTTGATCCCAGTCCCGGACTGTGACCCACGTGGTGTGGTAGACCTCTCCTGTCTCGCCCGCTGCTCCCCTCAACACTGTACTTTGTCAATCTGTCTGTTCTGCTCCCCACTCTGTCTCTGGTGAATCCTCACACCACCCCTGCATGTCTGGCCTGTACCCCAGTTCTGTATGGATAAATAAATAAATAAACCTTTAAGAAAGAAAGAAAAGATTTTGCTACAGCCAGGGAACATATCTGTGACCACAAAAGTATGCAAAATGGAAATACTCTTTGAAAGAGGTAACTGGAATATGATTCCTCAGTTGAGTAGGTAAAAATGAGAAAATAAAACATAGGTGGTTGCCATAAAAATCAGAATGTAAAAGAACAGCTTATTCCTCTACAAGCGGTAATCATAATGAAGACAGTGAAGAGTGTGGGCTGCCCTTCTCGCTTTTCTGTGCTGTTAAACTGAAAGATCAGGCCAGCTATCTTATTACACAGAAGTCCTGCTACAGGGACCTGACTACAAGATTCCTCTAAAATGTGTAGTGCTGAACCAATCTTAACTTTTCAGTTTTACTAAAATATAAATTTCTAAGATAGAGTCCTTCAATCATCCAAAGACGAGTGCCATGGGTACGAAGGAAAATCACAACGTAAAGAGGTGGTAGTTTCACTCACTTCATGGTGTGATCTGTAACAGTTTCAAAAAAGCAAGAAACCCAGTATTAAGGAAAGCATTAGGGACCAATCACCCACTGAAGTATTGCCGGACTGCCATGCAAGCAGATCTTGAGTCTACTGTTTTGTCGGTGGAAGCTCAGTTCATCAGCACAAGATGGCAGTGGAATTTGTTGACAAATGGGCCTTCACATTTAGTGCTCCCTCTTACCACAAGGAAGGATACACTCCACATGACATAGCCCAGCTGAGATTATCTATGAAATACTAAAAGCATTTAATAAAATCTTCAGAGTAAAAACTACATTGATGTAATTCAATCCAGGGTAACGGAAAAACTATGTGAATTCAAAATACAAGGACTTTAGAGAGAGAAGTTCCCACTTCCTGTCACCATAAAAAGGAAAAAAGAAAGATGATTAGAGATGCAAGTATGGGAAGAGACTATAGAGACTAAAGGAATAGAATGCAAAAGAAGATAAACTGATAATGAAAGTCTTACGAATGAGAAATTAGAAAGCAAAACACAAGTGGTTACTGGAGTATGGAAACCATTAAATCAGTCTTTTTTTTTTTTTTTCAAGTCAAGATGAAAATGGAAAAGAGATAATTAAAGAAAAATGTAAAACAAAAGGAAAATAAGCATGTGAAAGAAACAAATTAAAAGACAAAAAATGGGAGTGAGAGCTGCCCAGTACCCTTTAGGTGGCAATGGGGTGGTGGGCACCCTCTCTACACCAGGGAGAACCCAGCAAGCTATCACTCCTTAGGGCTAGAACCCGATTCTTTCTGCCTGGAACTTACTTAGCAGAACATGTAGTTTTACACACAGCATAATGAAGCAAATTTCTTCTGTGTAAGACTTTGGTTTATGAAATGGTCAAATACTTCTAAATAGGAGAAGCAAAGGTGGTAGAAAGAGAAGCAAACAACAACAACAAAACAATACATCAGCATCAGTTCTTTACCCAACTGTTAAGGCAAGACCCAAAGAAAAGTAACAGACTCTTAGGTCTTTAACCAAAGGGTCGAGAGCTATGCCTTTAGCTTGATGACCTTTTATGAATGTCACCTAATTTTGGCACAGTGTGTGGGTTTCATTTCTCTTTGGTCTCAGTAGGACACCTTCATAATGGTCTTTTTTCCCCTACGACTGGTATTACCTCTGACTGGCACAGAGAAAGGAGGAAGTTGATTCCAACTGTGATTTCTAAGTAGTAGTTGTGAAGATAATTAGAAAATAGGGCCTTAAGAAACATTATGACATTATGCCTCATTTTTTTCTGTGCCTCTTTTAAATTTGGTCTTCATAGGACCCAATGTTTGAAAGTGGGCTCTGAGTAAAAAAAGAAAAAAAAAATTTTTAAGAAAGGAAAGAAAATTAAGTGCTAGTCTTCAAGGAGATTTATGCAGTAGTAAGTATCTGAGTTACAAATTACTATGTACCATCCTACCCAGAGTGGCTTTTTTGTCAAATAGTTCAGATTTCTCAGTAGCTAATTTCAATTTGTTCTTGTGGCAATTAGAAAAATATCAACTAAAATTCAACTAAATTTAAACTTTAATCCAACTGAATTAGACTAAATAACCACAGAGAAATCACCAGTTATTTTTCATTGTGACTTTTTAGGGTGCATCCATCTATCTGTCTGTCTGAACACCTCTAAGATCTCTGGAGCCAGATGCCTAAATTCAGCTTTCAGTTATGTCACTTAAATTTATATAGATGTATACAAGTCTAGAAGTCCTCCTTCTCTGTCTTGCTCAGAGATTCATATCTGAGAAACAAGAGTGAACTAAAAATGTGATACAAATAAAATATGAAGTCTACAGAGTAGTCTTCATATTTGGAAGATTGTAAACTTGGGAGCCTTATTTGAAGAAAAAAAAAAAAAGAAAACAGAAATCCATCAGATGGCCAGGTTCAAACCAACCTCCCTCCCTTCTTGGTAGTAAATATGCCACCTACTCCCTAAAACTCTTGTGCCTGATGAAGGAGGTGAAAGGGCAGAAAGAAGAATGCTGAGGGAGGCCCTTGTGGCAATCACTTTGCTATTACAGCTGCCTGATTGTGCCCCTTTTACCTCTGATACATGCAAATAGACATCCACCAACAAAATACTCTGCAGTATCAATGGATTTCAGTGCCAGAAAACTCAGACTTTACTTATAACTTATTTAAAGTAGAATGGAACAGGACAACCAACTGCAGAATAGAGTACAGCTGCTTTTATTCTGTGTGCAAGGAGGTTCTAACTATGTCTCTGGGCTGAAACATAAAATACCCACAGATTCAAGTCTATTGATTGGGTTGACAGATAAACTATTTTGCCTCCTCTAAAAGAAGGTCATTTTCTCTCTCAGAACCAGGATTAATGTGGTTAGAGCACAGTGAATGGAAACTTAGAAAGGAAGACAGGTCTACAGACCAGGAGAAGTAGAGGAGGAATTTGCCATGTATTACCACTCAGGCCTCAGTCTGCACTGAACTGCCCCTTCCTCTTGCTATTCTCCAACTTCCCTCAGCACACACACCCAAAGAAAGCTGTTTCTAGGGTCTTTGTTCTCCATGTTTGGATCATTACAGTTACAGCTGCTATTACCAAATAATGGGTGCAAAAAACTGTAGGGGAAAGAGGTTAAGTGAACATTGTATTATTGTAAAGTGATACCGTGATTTTTTCACAATGCCCCTATAATCTGTTTCCCACTGCACTGAATCAAGCGAAGGTGGTTTTTCCCAGCAGTTTTTGTTTAACAATATTGAAGTCAATGACTGACATTTAGTTGGACCTGCTAAATAGCCGAGGACCTCTCAGATATCACTGAGAATGTATATAAACTTCATAGTGCTCATCTGTCTCTTTCATGATCTGTCACTTGGCCTTAGCTGCTCTATTTAGCACAACTAGGAGTCTTGAATGTGTCCCCAGTGCAGAGCTGATAGGACAGTGAGTGTCCAGTGGGGGAGCTAACCTGAGAGCAGCTTGTTTCCACCCTGTGCATTCCATAGGAGAAGTCGTCTGTGAAGGTGATGGCCTCAGAACTGATCACATCGTGGAATGACGGCCAACCTAGGGCACGGCAGGCATAGAAACAAAGCAGAGCAGAAATCTTAGGTTAGAATGCAACTTTAAAGCAATCCTAAACACAGCATAAAAATATTTATTATATGAGTCATACTTAAATGAATCCCAAAAGTTGAAGGATAACAACATATTCTGTGAGTATACAACAATTGTTTAAGAATACCTTTTCCCTCACATTCAGATTGCAGCTGCATTGGGAATTTATATTACTTGAAGCAATCTTGGACCATCCAGTAGTTTCTCCAGAATGAGTTTATGAGGTTCTCTGCTACCTATCTCCACTTGTTATCTCTCTATTCAGTCACTGGACATAGGCCTGATGCACTAGGAGTCTTAACTCGAGATTTTTTCCAAAACACCATGCAGCCAGTGATGTTACTATTTCAACAATTCTATGCCTCTTTAGGAAGAATGCTTTTCAGTACTTAATTTTGACTGTGAAAACATTTTAAATTGAATTTTCTGTTGTTTCCATCTTAATCCAATTCTCAGGATGGGTCCTGGGGGTGCAGGGGAGGTTTGTGCTCATCTAGAAAGCATAGCTTCTATTTTATGGGCAAGAGGCTTGCTCACTTCATATGAGAAAGTCACAAAAAGGGTTCTGCAGGCATATTCAGGTAGCACCTTCTCTCAAATAGTGTCTTTTCCCCCCAATTTTCATTTATTCTAATGTTTCTAAAAATACACAGCTTTTAATATACTTGATGGTAAATGGCCATAGGCTGTACAAACTTTAACGAGTATACAGACTGGTTTTATGGTCAGTACTTCTGAGTGTGTTTTTTACATGTTTCCAGAAAATATGACTGGAGTTTTCTGAGCTGAAGACTGCACCCCCAAAATGATGAAAGAGGTGTTATGTTGCTGAATTGCTGGTGCCTTTTTTTTTTTCTTTCAGAAGCTGAATTTATTCTTGCAGAAAGAAGGAAGTCCCTTACAAACATGGTGCTTTTTGTTAATTCACCTACTGATAAAAACCAGAATGCAAACTTCAACAATACAATTTCCAGTTTCAAACAAATATTAACTCAGTCCAAGGTTTTGTAAAAAAAAAACTCCCTCAAGCTCCCCACTCCCTACTATGCAGCAGGATAGCTTTCCGAGGCAGTGCTAGATTTAACACTGGAGTTTAAACACTTTCCAATTCCTTGATGTGAGTTCAAGATTGCCACAAATTACTAGGAAGATCTCAGCCTTCTAGATATAAGGTAACATTCCACAAAAGTGATACTAAGACATACTAGTATTCTTAAGAAAACCCATTTCTCCTTACTTTCTAAAATGCTAAAGAGAATTTGAAAACATTGCAGGGCATATTACTTGGTTTAATGTTTACTTGACATTTAAATATCCTCTGTTCCACAACAAAGAACTATTAGTACAGAGAGGTTTAATGGTGATGCTTAAGAACACTGAAAAGTCATTTTTCTATGAAAAGCAATTATTCTGTTTTGTTGTTGCTGTTGCTTTTACCTCTTATGCCACAACTCATTTGATTGCAGTTTAAGGCAACTCATATTATGGGGGAATATTTGATTCTATGATAAATAGGTAAAGGATTTAGGAATTTTGATTTTATGTTCAATTTGCCATAAAGCTACGCCCTTCCACCCCATCACCACACACATTTTCCGATCACTAGAATTCAGTATGGGTTTAGAGAAACACACTTACATGTAGATGTACAGATAGAGATCCTATATCTACCTGTGTGGTATGTGTGTAAAGGGCTTAGGGGTATCAAACACTAGCACAATTGAAAATCCACATATAACTTATAGTTGGCCTTCTATGTATTTGGGTTCTGCATCTGTAGATGCAAATGACAGAATGTAAACTCAAGGGCTGAAAAAACCTAGAGTTATGTGGACCCTTTCAGGTGAAATCTGGGTTGCTCAAGGGTCAACTGTATGTATATGTACATATTTGTATATTCCTCCCTCTTTCCCCACATTCGTCTTCTGCATCTCACACTGAACATACTAGGTTTGTGTTTAATTTTCACACTTTCTCCCTGACTAGGTAGTAAGCACTCTGAAGGCTGAGTCTGAACTCACTGACTTGAATACTTTCACCATGGAGTGTAGCACAAAGGCAAGGCACAAGAATTTATTAAATTGATTTCCAATTACCTTTCAACAAGAAAGACGAATGAATAATTATGACACATCATAGACTCTCATTGGAGGAAGAATATAATCATTCCCTTTTTTACAGACTAGCTTAAAAAATATCAATACTAATTTCTCACTGGCTATCACATGCAATCACTGTGTCTATGTCTTTCCATATGTAGGTAAAGTAGCTTTATTTTTTATTTAGGATGAAAAAAAAATGAATATGACCTAGGTAGCTCACTTTACAGGATTTTTGTGGAGAGGAGGAGGTAGTAGAAAGGTAAGTTACTTGTTCACGTTACACAGGCAATGAAATGACAGTCAAAAGTCTTTAGTGTGAGGCTTCTTCCATATGTTCCACTTTTTTCCTCAATAAAAAGCTAAGAGATTATTCAACTGAACACTAACAGGAAGGAGGTTGCAAGTTTTAAGAAACGAGTTTACCACCATGTCTAGATCAGTTGGTCTTCACACTGCTGCACTTAGGAGCCTCGAGGTGGGAGCAGCCATGAATGTATCCTAAACAATACTGATTCTCTCACCTGCTACTGACCACATTATTCAAAGGGAAAACCCAAGAATTGTGGTGTAATCTAGTTTGGGGCACAGATAATTTTTTATTCACTTACGTGAAATGTCAAGACTTAGAACCTCACCAGTAGGAAATACTACTGAGGGAAAATGTCAATTCTACTTGGGATTTCTTAATTCTAATTCTTTCCTAAAATGTGAACTATGGCCTACCTAAGATTCTGGGGAAGGAAAGGAACTGCTTTTGAGTGAGCTATACAGTTAGTTATACATTTTGATTCAATAAATTAAATAGTCAAAAGAATTTTCCAGAAGACCATATCCAATAACAGAACAGGTGACATGAAAAGACACAGGGGTAGAGAATCTCAAAGGATTTCAGTGTTTCTGGAAAATTTAGCATCTGAATAGTTTCGTATGTTGTTTACCAAGATGCTACTTAAACATAGGAAGAGATACTAAAAAAAATCTCAAAACTTTCCAAAATTCAGTGTCTTTTTTGCAATGCAGAAGAAACACAGTTTTCAAGATGGAATATTCGATATGTCACCCAAATCCTAATCAGTGGCGACAAGAAAAACTCTGCTGAAGACTATAATCACGTGTGAAGGAATACATTCAACAGACTCTTAGACAACTTCACCCATAAATTAGCAAAAGAGAACACTGAGTTTGCTAGGCCTCTCGGAAAAAGCAAAGAGAATCCGTCAGCAAGGTAAGTCCTTATTGACAATCAAACTAGGAAGGACTTTCACCCAAGAATAGATTGTCTTATGGCAGAGAAGCCACAGTGATGACAGCACTTTGAAAGCGGAATTCCCTCATCATGTGAAAGTATTTAAAGGAGGAACTCTTCAGTGCTGTAAAAATCCTCAAAGGAAACCCTGCCCCCACTTCTAATAATAAGGAAAGTGCTTCAAAGGGTGATAGGCAAAGACTGAAGCAATCTGGGTCTTGTTGAGAAAATTATCTTGAGCAAAAGGGTGGGGAGGGGATGTGTTTATGTCAGTTTTGACATTAAAGAAAGATCATCCATCCTCCTTTCTCTAGGATTTCCCTTTTGGTCTTCTCATCTAACAAAAAATTATTTGTTTTGGATGCACTCCATGCACTTTTCAAAAGAAAAATCATGTGAAAACCTGCATAAACAAAGTTGGCTCACCCCATCCCCAAAACATCCCTTTGTTTCTATTTAATGAGATTGGATTTGGGCCTATTTTCATTATATTTCCAGGAATATAAGCTGTATTTGTAGGCATTAGCCTATTATTATCAAGAATATCATATATTCCATAAATCGGTTCTCTCCTCAAAACAATCCTTACTCCAGATAGCAAATAAATGCAGTACTACACCTAAAGCAGAGAAGTTGGAACATGTTCTGTTTCAATCTGATTCTAATGATCAGTTCAAAAATTTGACAGTCATGACTTGAAACTGCTGCTGCAATATGGAGCAATTCTAGGATATGCTCATTTCAAACACTCAAAGAGAAGAGCCAGTGATCCAGTTTATTAATTGGAGATCTTCCGTGCTTGCTACCATATACACTAGAAAGGACTTTTTAAAGACAACAGCAAAAAGGAGTATTCTCCCTTACTCATAAAGTGGCATTATTGTTTTTTAAAGATTTATTATATATGCATACAAGAACTGTGGCACAGGCCTGAGGAGGAGAGGATTCACCATACGCAGAATGGGAACCAGAACAGGCAGATCTTCCAAAATGGAGGGAAGCAGCAGGAGGGTCAGGAGAGGTCTGCCATGCCATGTGGGTCACCTCCCTGGCCGGGGATCGAACTCCTGCTGCAGTGGCTGTGGATAGCTTCAAGTACGGTGCTGTAACCCACTGTGCCACCAGGGAGGGCCCCATAATATAGCATGATAAAGCTGCTCATTTCTAAAAGTATGATTCAATACTGCCCCCTGAAAACCGCATTTGCTTGTTATAAATTCTTAAGCAATTTAAGTAGTAAACAACAAAACGCACGCATGTAGTAGAAAATTAAATTATGCAATATGACTCATAGTGAAATGCTCCCTTTCAATTCTCTCCACATAGTCCTGTCTGTCAGGTTTTTTATTTCATTCCAAAAATATATACTTAAGCTATTATCTTTTTACTCCTTCATTTAAAATCTGTTTTTTTTAATATAGAAGCTACTACCCATGTGTTACATTTTAAATTTAAATCAAATAAGAATAAATTTCAGTTTTTCAGTCACATTTTCCACATTTCAAGTTCTCAACAGTTATGTGTAGTTAACAGCTACTATGTTGCTCGCCACAGATACACAGGACATTTCTACCACCATCTCCACAGATATAGACCATTTC